AAAAAGTAAAATTTATAAAATTTGAAAAAATTTTACTAACTGTTACGTACAATAATAAAATAACTCTTTTTTAGTGAAAGTGCATTATTTGGCTTAAACCTATATATATATATATATTACGTGTACTTTATTAATAGTACAAAGACTAGAAATACATTGAAAAAATAAATAAAATAAAAACACTTGATTAAGCCAAATAATGCATTTTCGTTACAATATCAAAAAAGGTTGAATTAAATTATAAAGAAGTATAAGACATATTAGCATGTCGAATTTGCATATAGAAAAGGCAAAATAAAACGACGCCAGTTTTTTTTACTATTATATTGCAGTCACAATTTACCATTGAACAAATTTAAAGTTTGGACAGCAACATCTACATACTAGTTGTTTTGACCTAATTCATGTGTATTTACTTTAATTATGAACAAAAACTTCAAAGGACAATGTTCTAAAATTTTCATAAGATTGTGGTATGCTAATTGATATGCTAATAGAAATGCTCAAATATCCGGAATTCATCTTTCGTTGTCACTGCACCTAGATTCATATCATTATATTTTTACATGATGAAGCTAATAATTTAATTGTACAATAATTGAACCAGAGACAATTTTATTCATAGCATTGTGCATATATAAAAGACTTGTTTTTGATTTTTGCGGCAAAAATCACGGGATAAGAATTACGCCAAGTACCATTTGCCGACTTCGAACCCATCTTTCCATCTTGAGTAAGTTCTTGAATATACCAATGTTTAGTATGAGTATTATGAGCATAATAATAAACCTTTTCATTTATTTGGAATGGAATTGAGACTTGGAAGGAACTTTTCCAATTTCCACGCGCCGTCTCTTGTCCAATCGCACCATTGCTATGTAATTCTGCAATCCACCAACAACGATTAGTAGTATTATGCATGTAAAAATAATGTTTATCTTTAATATGATAAGGGAAGGAAACATGATGTGCATTTTGCCAAGTTCCATTTGCGGTTTCTTCGCCCATTTTTCCACCTTCCAGTAACTCTTGGATAAACCAGTAATTCGAATCGATATTATGACCATAATGGAACGTTTTTCCGTTAATCGTGAAGGGAAGAGCTACATGATAAGCATTTAGCCATTGTCCTTGATCAGTTTCTTCTCCTAACTGTCCTCCTTCAATTAATTCTTGAATATACCAACAATTGGAATCAACATTTTGGGCATAATAATAAGTCCGCCCTTCAATTTTAAAAGGAAATGCGACATGATAAGAGTTCTCTCGAATCCCACTTGCAGTTTCTTCGCCAATTTTACCATTATCGGATAGCTCTTTAATATACCATTTAAGTGTATTTGTGCTATGAGCGTAAATATAGTTTTTACCGTTGATTTGATAAAAGAATGCTACTTGGTAGGGATGTCGTTCAGACGTCGAAGATTTTCCATTAGACTTTTCTGTGCCGATCTTTCCATCGGAAAGAAGTTGCCAAAATCCTGTCATCGTATTATACGTCATTTGAATGATAAATTAAAAAAAAAATTAATGCTAATTATGCTAGTTATGCTAATTGTGAATAATATTTATTACTATATATACGGAATAATTTCTTTTTTACAAAAGAAACTATTGAAACTATTTCTCAAATTTTGAGGCTACATGCGTTAATTTATCATTTATATACTTGTAACATTATGCAATCGCCGTAGCTCATTGTGCGAGTGGGGCGAATATGAAAACTGGTAACAAACAAACATTAGTTACCTGAGATGCATAAAAGCACTAAGGAATACTCTCCATTACTAATTTGGTGTCCAACGAACACTTGGCATAAACGCGGTAATAATAGAAGTCAAACAAGCTTATATTACAGAGAGTTAATTCCTCCACAACTTGAAGACCAATAAAAATATTTTAGAGTTTTATATTGTATGTATATATGCATGTAGAGTAGAATTTCGTAAGCATACTAATTATTATGATACACTTGTTCTCTTAGAAAAGTATATTTTTTAGCACTTCCTGCTTATTATTCACTCATCACTAAAAAAAAAAAAAATTTTTTTATTTATAGTATTTAAGTGAGATGCATTAAAACCGATGTTTTATTTAATAACAAATCCGAATTAATACACCCTTCTGCCAATAGGAATTCATGCATGTATAATGCAATGTAAAATAAATTTCACTCATCGAATATGATAATTTTAGAAATAAGTATATTATTACATGATGCTTTCATTCGGTTAAAAAGATCAAATATTTGGTCTCTAGGTAGTAATAATATCAAATAATGCATGGCGATACGTAGCAATAGTACAACATAATATAGCCAATGTACGTACGTACGTATCGGTATGTACTGTACATTCCAAAGATTTTTATTATATTTCGTGTTAATCACTGATTGGTTCTCTTTTCCATCGAAATTATAGAATTTATATTTGTATGAAACTTTAATACGTATTTGTTTATTTCAAATACGATGCATGCAAAAAATTATTAAATTTGTTATCGATATAATTCGAAACCTCTATTTAATATTTCCTAATTATTTTCGAGAAAAAACACGATTGTAAATTCCCGGTAAATCTTATACGTACCATTCTAAGTTTCCTTTTTTGCAGAACTACATAAGTAAATAAATTGCCTACCCTTATTATAGCAAATCTTCTCGTCTTCTATATAAAAGAATTTCATAAGCTTCTCCAGACAAGACGTCCACACGAAAACTAGTAAAAGAGAAAAAATTTGTAAGTTTGCGAACACCTCGCGAGTTCTGATAAAAAACTTCATTATATTTAAACTATGATGATTATAGTGGTAATAAAAACTAATCCTTGGTTGCTATCTGGCACTTCGACCGATGATAATGTATGCATATACAATATGCGGTATGTACGTACGTACGTGCGTACCGTACTTATCAGTTATTTAATTTGTTCTAACTATAAGCATTGGTAACGCCATCTCCACAATTAGGAAATAGAAAACGTTAAATGGATATTTTGTTTATTTAGTATAATAAATGCACAAAAAAAATCCAACCAGTTTCAAAATTCAAGTTAATAAATCTTCTTATTCGTCACCCGCGGGTGGACGGGTAACCCGGGTGGAGTTTTGGCCACCCGGGTGGAAACGGGTGGGTCACCCGACGGGTGA